CTCTGCTTTGTGTTATTCTGCAAGCATCTTCTGCTAAACCCCCAGCTACCTTCAAAACCAATTGTTTTTCAATCTCTGTTAAGGCATCCAACAACAGCTGGAGATCTAACCAGTCAGGTCAATGATGTTTAATCATAAACTTCAGCCTCTTTGCCACTTATTGGGTCACTTAAATAATGTTTAGCAATCTTTTCCCAAGCCTCTAAATCCATTGTACAAAAAGGGATCTTAACTAGCATTGTTTTCCCTTCAGAATTTACTGCCTCCCTCAAAGGTGCTTGTGTAATTTCTTTGGTTTGTTTCTGAGTCCAGGATATTGTAGGAACCATTGGAGAGGGCTCCTCTTCCTCCCTGTCACTGCTAGGCAGTGGGAGAAATTTAGGGGTATGTGGAGTAATCGAAGCAGAGAATAAAGTAGAAACTGGAGCTGAACTTGGAAGAGAAATTGGAGTTGATTCAGCTGTGCTAAAAGCTGGAGCTGGAGTTGAAATAGAAATTGCTTTGGTTAAGGCTGGAGCTGGAGTTGAAACAGAAATATCAGGAAGTGGAATAAGAGCTGGAGCTGGAATTGGCGCTTTGTCTGGAGTGGGGCATGGGACATTGTGGACATGATATTCTGAACCTGAGAGAATTTCAAGCTCTCAGGGGCTGGTTGTTCCCAAGGGAAAGTCTTTGGGAACTTTTTCTTCTCACAAGAACTGTTTGTGAAAATAAGGTTTGGTTTCCCAAAACAAGACACAGATGTTCTGAGAGTGTTTTCTCTCTTGTCCCACCAATGGGATGAGGGAGGTGTTGTTCCTTCTACCAATCAGGATAACCTGTAATCGGAACACCTTATAAAAGGGTTGAAAAACCCCAAAATAAAGGCTTTTCTGCCTCCTGAAAAAACCTCTGGTTGCTGTGATTCTTGGAACCTTCACTCTGTACTTCGCATCCTCTAGCGACAGGACATAAGCTGGAGTTTGGACAGAAATGTCAGGAGGTGGAGTAAGAGCTGGAGCTGGGGTTGAGGTTAATAGCCGTCTCAAATTTGCTTCTCCTCTCAGCCCCCCTTGCCTTTTAGGAGGAGGTTCAAACAGCTCTCCCAAGTCTTTCTCCAGTGGAGCAGCTGGGTACACTTTGTCAGGGTGTGTACAGTGTTGATTTATGGAGCATGTACTACATCATTTTAGCTTAGCCTTGTTGTCTTTTTCCAGGGTCAATACCAAGGGGCCCAAGCCCACAGTCTCTCTGCCAGTCAGGGTGGTTCCGGAGGGAGACAAGCATGTCAGCATACGTTACCTCCTCTCATTTCTACTCCCGTCTCAAAAACAGCATAAGTTGTAAAAGAGTCTCATAATGCAAAGTTCCAGCTGAGGGCCACCTGATACCCCCCCAAGCTTGTAAAGTGGCCACCACTGTGTACAGAACTTAACAAGGGCCTTTTTATTCTCTGTACCCCCGTAACCTATGAGCTCCTTCCATTGTGCCTAAATATACCCTCAAGGACTTGTTTAGGGATCTCTTTACTCTGGTTAGTACCCATCACTCTTCTTTTCCTTAACCAGAACCAGCACTTTATTCTGATCCTTATTGTCTCCTCCTTTGCTTTCTGTCTTGCTTCCACCCAAACCTAGCTTCACAGATCTTTACAGTCCTTTTCCAGTCTTTCTCCTGGGAACAACCCACAGCTCAGGTATTAAATGTGACTTTCCACACACCAGCTTCAAAATCTTTGGTTCTAAATCAACTCTATTAGGGAGCTGTTGATACTGGATACACTCTTTGTACTGATTAGCAGAAGAACAATAGTAACATCCTACACAAATTTCACGCTGCAACAGCATCCATGCACAATGCCAGCCCCTAGATGCACCAAAAGCTGCAGGAAGATTCCCACAAATACAAAGTATTCCATTCACTCCTTTTTGATTTTCTAAATTCTGCATAGCCTGCTGTTCCCAATCCAAAGCCACAAGTCCCCCAGCAGATGTCTGATAAGCCTTTTAAGTATATTCTCTCATTTCCCCCATCTATCCACCAATTTACTGAATTCACAGACTCCCACGAGTCGAGCCCAAACCACTGAGGAAAAGAGATTCCCTCTATTTGTCTGGCCAGTTTGAATTCTCAGACCAAAGCTACTCTTATTCTAATTCTAGCAATTCTGCAAACACAGTCTCCGTACCCAGGATCACAACTAAGCTCTTATCAAGGGCTTCTACTCTTCCTTGCCAAACTAGTCCTATCCTTTGTCTGTCCTGGATTTACTTCAAAAACATTCATGTCTCAGCTCTCAGAGGCTAATCAGGTTTTTCAAGCACACTTCTACTACTTCACTCAGTGTGTCCTGCACTTATAACTTTTGACCCAAAATGGCAATGTTGCCTCAAAAATGCACCACAGTTTACAAAACACAAATTCAAGTCACACACAAAGCAATTCATCCATGCAGACTAACACCACAATCTTGTCATTCTTGTGGAAAACACTTACAAATATGCATTCAACTAAATATGCATTACAACTAAAGCATTCAACTTCTGTATCTCAAGTTTCACAGACAAAAACACCCAGAGAGCGAGACTATACAACTCTTAGAGTTCAGAGCCTTTTAACATGGACTTGGGTGTTACAGTAAATGCTGTTCCCTGTAACCAAAACACACACACACCACAGTCACAGCGGGGAGGGGGCATTTATTAGGGCTTTTACACAACATGCAGCACTATCAGTAGCTTCAATCACCCACTCATTTCATGCTAATAGCACATCTCAACAAACTGTCTCACAGTCACTCTTACAGCCAGGACACACTTGCACAACACAACAACCATAAACCAGGATTTGCCCTTACAGCTCCTAGCCCCAGATTGTTAGCAAACTGAGCTCTCTACAGCACAACATATGGCAAAATCCCCTTCTGCCAGCAGCCAAAGCCTGAGTCCCCCTGGCCAGGCACAACGGCTCAGCCCTCTGCTGGCAACCAAATACAACTGACCAGATACCAGTTCTACTTGCAAGCACTTTACAGAGGCACAGGTTGTGCATGGGACGTCTCCCAGGATTTACCAACAGCCTTTCCTAACGATGCATATGCCTTACAGGTCTTTGTTTAAACGGTTTTAAATTTTTTTTCTTTAAAACATACCCTTTTGTCCGGAATTTTTGTAGTCAGGAGTCCTTGTCTGCTGCTGGATAAGCAGGCTGGCCAGCAGAGCCCACTCTTTCAGGAATATCGCAGCAGTGCCCAATTGGGGTCCACAACCTAAGCTGGTCTTACAGCTTAGCAAAGTCTGGTCCTGCCTGGCTTGCCAAAATGAATTATTAAAAACTGATATGATCACTGACAAAGACCCTCTAACTAATTAAATTTAGAAAGTGGTATGTTTATTCACTGGTGGGTGGCATGGGGATCATCCCTAAAAGGGTGACCACCTGAAACAAGGTTCTCTTCCCTCTATTTCCCAAAATCTCACATACAATACATATGCATAACCCCAGCACCTCCCCACTGAGTACTAAAATGAGGCTATTATTCCTTCACATGTGCGCAGTTCTATTGATTTGGGTTAGTGGTCTTGAATTGGGTCAGTGGTCCCAGAAGGATGAAGTCAGGAAGGTTTTCATCTGGCCTCTTTGACCCTTTGGCACCATCCAAGGCCCCCTGCTTGGTGATCGATTGGTGTAGAGTCCAGGTGATGGCCATTGTTCTCACTGGTTTCAATCTGCTCTTCTAACTTCTCTAAGTTCTTACTTACTCCACTTTCTTCTATAAACAAGCTCATAATAGCATACACTATAACAATTAGCTCTGGCTTAAGCATTTAATAATCATTAAATTATCATTTGCTTATTGGACTTACACCTTGATCATTATAAATTGCTTCTAACCATTAGCTAAACCTTAACCCTTCAAAAATCATGATTCACAGGTGTATGCATTTGGAGATCATTTTTGCCTTGGTTCATTCTTCCATTTAGTTTAGGAGGTGCAGTGTTAAACCACAAGAGTAAATCACTTCATGCTTGTTGAAAACACATCATAAACTTCTGAGCTACTTGTAAGGAGAACATTCTCTATGCTAGAATTCCCTGAAATGGAAGTTAATAATAATCTGGAATGTCTTGGCTTTTCAACACACACACAAAAAAATTATAGGCTGGTTTTTAATAATCGTTTGCAGTCATCATAAACTTCTAAAAGATATACTTGGATAATTTACTAATTTACTAAAATATAATAAATCGTTTAAAAAAAAAGTATGAAGTGTCCAGCTGAGGTTTCCTACAAAGAAGGTGGCAAACATCTGCAAGGTGGTATAAGGATAGCAAAACCAAAATCAAATAAAGCACTTTGTTTCAAAATATATTTCAGTTTTGTTTTGAGAACCATGTAATTAATTTCCCATGAAAGGGTTTTACTTAGTTTTAATAAAAATATTGAAGAAATTACAGTTTAGATTTTAGTCTGGAATAGTCTGTGCTTTAAAACATAAAGTGAAAAGGTACATAATAATCTCTTCTTAAATTTTGGGACAGTTAGATGAAAATTCACACTTTGAAAAGTAAAATGAAAAGTCACATTTTAGATTGTAGTTTCAATGCAGAAGGTGACTTTCCTTAAAGAACTATTTCTTCTTTCTGGAACAGTTTTTGGAGGAGAAAAACAATCCACAAATGTGTTTACAAGGGTTAATAAGCTATCCAATAAAATTTTGAACATTGATCTGCATAATTTTCCTTCTAAATATTGAGGTTTTGCATCCTGGGGTGTTATTTTGAATAGAATAATGAATGTCAAGACTTTACATGAATGTTCTTTATAAAAAACACAGTAATTATCTGGTCTGACATTTTGTTGTTCAGTGATCTGTCTTCATGTTAAAAAAACTCAATACTAATCCTAGGCATATGTTTGTTTTAAAATTTGGTATGTTTACAAATGGAACACAGGAAGTAAGGTAGGGAAACCACTGAATATAGTTACAGAGTAAGACACAACTTCTTTCTCTTTCCAGAAAATAATCACCCAAGACAATATACATGACGAGCTGGATAAAGCTTTGCAGTGTGAGCATGAGGCGAGACTGCTTTTACAAGAACACCAGCGACGGCTTCAGGAGTTAAGTAATAGACTAGAATTGCACACATGTGCAGACCCAGATAGAAGCCAAGTCTCAAAGGTGTCTCTGATGGTAAGATTATTCTTCTGGAACAGTCACTTTTGTTAAATAAATCAAATAAAGCAGTCTTTGTAAATAAAATAACAGGAACAAATACACAGATGCTGCTCAGTCTGCTGGACTCTTAGGCTACTGAGAAAAGGCTTCAATGGGTTTTGGTTTTTTTTTTTAACTTATGGATATTTTTAAGATATGGATATAAAGATGTAAGAAAAAGTCTTCAGTGGGGGTTTGTTTTGGGTTTTTTTGCCGACAATCATTCTGTTTTCTAAAACACATTACACACTACATAGCAATATAGTAAAATATACTAAAAATGGGGGAGCAGGAGATGGGGTTCAAAGTCAGTAATGCTTTTGCTGGGAAATTCATAAAACTTTAGTATGCAGTGGTCCAAATCTACTTCACAATCAATTTGTCTTCCACATTGGTCAGTAGCCAATGGCATAAAGTGAAGTTTATTTGGGCTGATGAGTAGCTCTGCTCTCTGACTGCTGACAGAGCCTCCATGGTGCAACGGAGGAGCTGAGGAGAAGAGACCAAGTTCTGAATCACCAGAAGAGTCTCCTGAAAGACATGGAGCAGGACCAGCAGCAGCTGCGTGAGACTCTCCAGGAGGCAGAACATGCCCTCCAACAGGCAGCAAAGTGAGCCCTGGGCCTGGGGGATGTCCCTTAAAGTGAAAAGAAAATTCAATTCCTAATTCCATGGGCAGGGTTTTAGACCTGGCCAGTGTAAGGCTAGAAGAGAAAAGTACATCTATCTCTTTTTTAAAAAAATCAGGTATAGTCTTCTTAAAACAAACGTGTCAGTTCAGAATACTAGGTCATACATTTTATACAGTTATGACATAATAGTGCTCCAAATTCTGGGTGCTGAAATAACTGGCAAACAAAATACCTGTGCTGTTTTACTGATCTGACAGCATCTCTTTGGCAGATCCTTAAAGTTGTGTTTATTTCAGAAATGATTGTTTGTTCTCTGTGTTTCCATGCCATCTTTTTATAGACAATTAATTTACAGTAAATACAGAAGCATCAGCTAGGGGGCAGGTCTTAGCTGCCAAAGGGACTGAATCCCATTTTGGACCTAGCTTTTCCTGTGGGACAAGATAGATCTTCCAGCTGATTTCAGGGAGTTTTGGATTTAGACCTAATCCCCACACCATTTACATCATAACCTGGAGTGGAAGGAAAGGCTCAGGCACTGGTCTTGAAAATATTGTTAGTCAAAAGGAGCCCCCTTGACTTGTAGGAGTTAGGTTGTTACTAACCTATTCTTACAGCCATATGGTCAGATAAAAAAAAATAAATCTTTGCAGACTTTGTTTTCCAATATTATCACAGTATGAAGTATGCATTATGGATATTGCTGTTCCATGCCTAGGATCTAAAAAAAAAAAATTTGTTAATTAAAATTTCCCACTGTACCTTGGATCATTTTACCTCTGAAGAACAACATCTGAGAAGCTTTAAGGGTTTTATGCACCAGGGAAATAATCTAATTCATATAGTCCTCAATTAAATGTTTAACAAGCTAATTAAAATGGCAAATGTTATTTGGTATGATTTCATCAAAGCAGGTGTGACCTGCAGAAGGATTTGTTCTAAAAAGATAGCCCTTTTCATCCTGCTCTAATCTATTTTGGACATTTTAGTAATGATCATTCCTTATGGCCATACATATATCCAGAAAAGATTATTTTAATGTGACATGTCTTTAAAACTGGCCTTTCCCCCCTCTATATAGTAGCTGAATAGCAACAAAGAAATCCACCCTTCCGTTCATTATTCTAGCAACCCTTCACAACAAATAGGGTTTTTTCCTCCCTTTATTCCATCTGCTTTGCTTATATGTTCCAAACAGAATCTGTCAGTGTTTTCCAGGACAAGAATATAATACCATCCTGCTAAAGTCTTTTATGACTCTATATCCAAGCCATGATAGTTGTTCATTGTGGGTGCAGAGGAGCCCACCGAGCCTGAGATCCTGGCTTTCCCCTGGAGCCAAGATGCTTCTCTGTAAGAGAGAGAAAATGTATCGCTCCCAGGGATCTTTGAGTTAGTTATGTTAAACTGTTGTGCTTCATTGGTGTTCCCCCCTGCTGTCCCACCCCAATACATGTATCTCAGGCTCCCCCCGCCCCTATAAATATCCTGGATTTTCCCCTGTTGGAGAGAATAGCTGTTGCTGGCTCCCTTCGCCAAAGCTCTCCCTGAATAAAGGTTTGTGCTTAGCAGAACGCTGGACCAGCTTTCTCGTCCCTTCTTCCCGTGTCGCCTGCCCACTGCCGCTGAGCTGAGCTGGAATCACTCGACTGCCCGAAGTCGCTCACATGTGCTTCGGCCCAGCCCTTTTCAGGGCTGCCTCTCTAGAGAAGTCGCAGCGCTCCGGCCCCTCTGTCCCCGTCACAACTGGCACCTGACCATGGGGCATTCAAAGACACCCTGAAGGAAGCGTCCGCCCGCAGCTTTAACTGCGCCGCTGTTCGAGCCACCGCCCCAAGAGGCTATCCTCTTAGCAAGAGGCTATCCAAGAGGCTGCGACTGGGACCCTCGTCTGACCATCTGGGGCAAGGAAGAGCCCCTGAGGTCCGGCCACCCAGGTGACGACCCGTCCAGCAGGTTTTTGTTCGCCAGCCTGCATCTGCCGAAGAGAAATTGTAAGTCAATCCCGTGAAGGGTTTTTTCGGGCTTTTTTTTTCTTTTTCTTTGCTGTTTTACTGCTGGGAGGGGAGTGAAAAAGGATGGGAAATCAGTCCTCCACATCAAGGCTGACCCCACCTGAGAGGGACTTTTACATCCAAGTTGTAATCACCCTAAAAGCGGGAAAATTTAAGTTTTCTAAAGGGGATTTAAAGAGATTTAATCATTGGGTTTTTAAACATTTTAAGATTAATTCAGATTCTGCTAAATTGGGAATTTTTGGGGATAATGTGGGAAGAAAGTTATATACAGTTCAAGCTAAGGGAGATTTTTCTGCTGCAAAACCTTTTCCTGTGTTTCAAAATACTACTTTCTCATTGGAAAAAGAGGGAAAAAAAGAAGAGGGAGTTTTGGGGACCCAGTTGAACTCCCCAACCCCGTCAACCTCTCCAAGTGTCCCTAAACCCTCTTCCCTATCTGAGAGCCAGTCAGCGGGTGGATGTTGCCCCCGGGCACAGGGCTGCTGCCGTCTCCCTGACACCCCCCTACTATCTACGCTTACCAGGACGGCAATGGCCATACCGCTCTGGGTCTTTCCTCTAACCTCTCTCCCATGCCTTCACACCCGGTTGTGTCCCCCCCAGTTCCTAGCATTAGCACAGATGGTGCCAGCAGTGTGGCCAGCCCCACCATTTTGTCCCACTCCCACCCTGGTTTTCCCGCCCTCAAAGCCCAAAATGCCCCCTTTCCCGCCTTCCCCCCTTCTCTTCCTGCCGCGTCTTGTTCCTCCTCCCCCCCCACTGCATCGTTGGGTGTAACCGTGTCGGGCCCCGCCCCATCCATTGGGAAACCCCTCCCCATTGTGGACCCCGGTCCCACCCCTTCGCTCTGGGGCCCCGCCCCCAGCGGCACGCCCACTCCAGGGTCCCAGTGCCCCAGAGGTCAGGACAGCTCCGGCTGGAGCGGGTCCGTCTTGGCTTCCCCACCTGGCCACAAAAGGGCCAGCTCTAGGCACCCGAGCCGGCCCCGCGCTGCCACCAAGTGCCCCTCATCTCCACTAGGAGATGAGAGCAGTGAATCTTCTTATTCAGATTCTGAGTATGAAGACCGCTGGGCTGAGGTGCAGAGGGAAGCCACACGAGTGGGGAACTCAGCTCTGTCCCTGAAAATACTTGCCTTTCCTGTAATAATGAGGAGAGACAGGGCAGGGGCACAAGTTGCCGCATGGGAATCCCTTCACTATAGGGAACTGCAGGAACTTTGTAAAGCTGCCTAAGAACATGGCAGGGGTTCACATTTTTTTAAACACTTGCTGGAAGCCTCCTTCTCTGCCCACGTCATGGTCCCCCATGACATCAAAAATATTATGAACTGCCTTTTCTCCCCAGCAGAGTACATGTTATGGGAGAGGCAGTGGAAAAAACATTTAAAGCAATTGGCAGATGTTTATGCTAAAGATGCTAACTGACCTAATTTTACTTTAGAGCAATTAGCAGGAGAAGGAGATTTCCAAAAGCCCCGAGATCAGGCCCGGGATCTGCCTGAAGCAGCTTTACAGGATATAGCTAATGCTGCTAAGATATCTCTTTTTACCACCCCTGATGATAAAGTGCCAACACAGTGCTTCACCA